GAGGATCTGCTGCTTGCGGCCGGACAAGTAGTCGACGAACCAACTAAGGGCTTTTCCAGAAACTCCAACCACAAGGAAGTCTTGGATCATTTTGTCGTGGTGCACTTTATCAAAAGCCTTCGACATGTCTAATAGGCACAGCGCTGTGGTCTTGCCACTGTCTCTCGCCTTCTGCTGATTATCAGTCAGCACACAGAGGGCGTCTTCCGTAGAACATTTCTTGCGGAAGGCAAAGTGTGTTTCGGGTAATGCCTTGCTCAAGTCCAAATGACGAACTAACTGGTGTTGCACTACCCTCTCCAGCAACTTGGACACTATTGGGAGAAGGAATACAGGTCTATAGTTGGTGGGGACTGATGGGTCACTGGCCTTGCACAGTGGCACGACAGACGCCAATTTAAGGTTGCGTTTGTTCGGTGCCATTCCGCCACCATTCCAAAGTCATTCCGCCGTGTTTTGATTCCGGAGCGTTTGTTTGATGCACTGGACAGCGTTTGTTTGGTGCAATTCCGATTCCGGTCGCTGAATGAAGGGGGCAGAATCAATTCTGGCGATTCCTAAGAAAAAGTGGAATGAGGTCTCATTCCGAGCGGAATGAAAATGTGCGGAGGGGCTTCGTGAAGTTCGTCGTTGCTGCACACCTCCACAACCAAACTTCAAGCGCGATTTTCGACATACAGAAATGTTGGCGGACATCGTCTAGGGTATAGGATGGTACTGTAACCTCGGGGACGGCATAGTAACTTGTTCGTGGTATTTTGACCCTTCGCTGCCTGAGAAAGTGTTCGCCTGGGATCGTTGATGAACTGGAAATATGCCCTCGCACCTCCGCTCCTCATCGTCGTCAAGCAGGGCCGCTAGAATCACAAGGAGGCAAGCCAGAACAATGTGACCCAAAGAGGCACTGAGCCTGCCACTTCACTTCTTCTTAAAACAGTGCCTCGTCTCTGTCAAATAAACACGAGAGCTAGAAACGTTTCTGTGACTGATACGAGGTCGTATAGCATGATGAAGTAGCGGCCAAACGCCGCCTACAGGCACCCTAGTTACGATCGCTCGTTGATCTACGCCGTGTTTGGCCGCTCCTTCATAATGACTGTCGTAGGGACATGCAGAAACTTACGGAAGCATTATAGCAACTACCAGGACTGGCATGTAGTAATCTTGGCAAGCCGCTGCAATTTGTGCAAACAACAGGTAATACGTTTCCAGAGTGATGCAAAACTTTTGCCAGATTCTCGAATCTATGCCAGCGCGTTTGTTTGCTACGCTCATTTCGATTCCGCGGTGAGTACCGACGTTATTCCATGCCCATTCGGGAATGACCGAACAAATGCAACCATAATGCGGTTGGAATGGTTCAAGTCCTCAGCGAGGTGCCGAACAGCACAGCAAGAGATTATGCCAACAAGTCAGCACACTGCTGTAGCAGAGAGCCCGGTATGCCGTCACTACCTGTGGCTTTCCGCGCATCCAACTTCTCAAGGAGACGTCGGACGTCAGCAGGAGTCACAGGATCAAGTTCGGTCAAGGAGACAGGTCCAGCGGGACCTTGTGGGTGCAGAGTTGTTCAGGACGGTTGGGATCGGTGACAATGGAGTGGAACGTGTCGGCCACCTCACTGATGCTACAATTAGGATCTTGGGTGGTTAACTGGTGTTGTATGATTCAACTAGTGTTGTTGATGGTTTTACTGATGTGTGTAATGGCTGGTGATTGGGGGCTGGGGGCGCTGGTGATTTGGCAGGTGGGGAGGGGGGGGGGGTAGTGATCAGGGAGGGTGCTGGGAATCACAGGGGGGGGGGGGGGGTCTGCTGCTCATCAAGCTCGATTTTGGATCTGGGAATGGCAATCATGGGAGGACGGTTATGAGGGGGTTCATACGATCCGGGGGGGGGGGGTCGGGGGTGGGGGGTTGTGGAGGTGGAGATCAGGGAGGCTGACGAGCAGGGGATGTCCCTATCTTGCCACTGCGCTGATAGGGGTGTCCATGTGATGTGGTCCATACAGGGCATCATACAGTAAAGTATGACACTGCTGATGATGTGTTCCTTTTCTGGTTGTTGTTGTTCCTTCCGTGATGAACGGATAGTGTTTCTTTCTCTCTAGTTTTCACCTGTATTCACATTTCTTCATAACTTTTCAGTTTTTGCAATTTCTGTTCAAAAGGACTCACTGCAAGTGTATAAATAATAAGTCCGTTCAAATTTCCGCCTCCCAGGGATAAAACTCATTTCGGTTGGATTAAGGGGGCACATCACCCAAAAATTCGCTGAAAAATCGAATTTGTAAATTCATATTGAGTGCTACGTCAGTTGAAAGAGCATGAATAGCTGCAAATTCTCTGAAAACTGTGTCCCTATCTGACCAGCCGTTCAAGAGTTATGGCCGAAAATGTGCCCTTGCAAGGAAAGATTTTTTTGTTGCATGCTGTCATTTGTTGGCAGCACTGTATTTGAATGTGAGCAGACCGTGCGCAACTTGTCGTATTATGGAAACACGCGAAAGTGTGCAGAATTTTGCCCCAAGTCCAAAAAAGTCCAAAAAATCACGTTAAAAAACCACGTATTGGGCTGCACGGCGGCGGGCGAAGCCCGCCGCCGTGCAGCAGGACTTTTGCCAGCACCCTCGTGACGTTGCAGATATGTGGCTTGATTATTGTAGTTGACGTTGATTTAGTGACTTTGGCAAGTTTGAGTCGTGTCAAGAAGTCAGGTAGGATTCAGTACTAGGCAGTAGTGAAACGTGAGTGGCAGTCTTTGCCGGTTTCTGAGGGCATCCTGGATTTGGTGTGCAGCGCTGTGGAAATGGCTTGCTGTGGAGGTTCCAGCACTGGATGTTGTATCAAAGGTACGACCTCGTAGCACGTGCTAAACCTAAAAAAATTCAAAAATTGACTTGGGCCTGTGGGAGTCCGCGAGAGAACGCCCACTCGTTCCGTTGTGACAGATTCCAGGGCCACGTAGAGGGGCCCTACCCCACCACCCATGGCTGCTTCTGGACTTGTTTTAGGTTTGGGTCCCGCGCACGGACAGAATGGGCACGAAAATGTGAAAAAAAATGTAAATGCATTTGTTTGGCTCCTGGGTGGCTCGCACACCGTGGCACTATGCCGGAAATTTGAGTTTTTCCGGCCTGGAAAGCCTGTCAGTGAGGCGCAAGAACTTGTAAATCATGTCCTGAGGGCCAGCATAGTGGCAGGAGTGTGTGGTCAAAATTTCACTCAAATCCACTGAGAAACACCAAAGTTACGGTCAATTGAATGCCATATGAAATTTTTGGGTGATGTGCCCCCCTTAAGGGGGCACATCACCCAAAAATTCGCTGAAAAATCGAATTTGTAAATTCATATTGAGTGCTACGTCAGTTGAAAGAGCATGAATAGCTGCAAATTCTCTGAAAACTGTGTCCCTATCTGACCAGCCGTTCAAGAGTTATGGCCGAAAATGTGCCCTTGCAAGGAAAGATTTTTTTGTTGCATGCTGTCATTTGTTGGCAGCACTGTATTTGAATGTGAGCAGACCGTGCGCAACTTGTCGTATTATGGAAACACGCGAAAGTGTGCAGAATTTTGCCCCAAGTCCAAAAAAGTCCAAAAAATCACGTTAAAAAACCACGTATTGGGCTGCACGGCGGCGGGCGAAGCCCGCCGCCGTGCAGCAGGACTTTTGCCAGCACCCTCGTGACGTTGCAGATATGTGGCTTGATTATTGTAGTTGACGTTGATTTAGTGACTTTGGCAAGTTTGAGTCGTGTCAAGAAGTCAGGTAGGATTCAGTACTAGGCAGTAGTGAAACGTGAGTGGCAGTCTTTGCCGGTTTCTGAGGGCATCCTGGATTTGGTGTGCAGCGCTGTGGAAATGGCTTGCTGTGGAGGTTCCAGCACTGGATGTTGTATCAAAGGTACGACCTCGTAGCACGTGCTAAACCTAAAAAAATTCAAAAATTGACTTGGGCCTGTGGGAGTCCGCGAGAGAACGCCCACTCGTTCCGTTGTGACAGATTCCAGGGCCACGTAGAGGGGCCCTACCCCACCACCCATGGCTGCTTCTGGACTTGTTTTAGGTTTGGGTCCCGCGCACGGACAGAATGGGCACGAAAATGTGAAAAAAATGTAAATGCATTTGTTTGGCTCCTGGGTGGCTCGCACACCGTGGCACTATGCCGGAAATTTGAGTTTTTCCGGCCTGGAAAGCCTGTCAGTGAGGCGCAAGAACTTGTAAATCATGTCCTGAGGGCCAGCATAGTGGCAGGAGTGTGTGGTCAAAATTTCACTCAAATCCACTGAGAAACACCAAAGTTACGGTCAATTGAATGCCATATGAAATTTTTGGGTGATGTGCCCCCTTAATCTTTCAGCCTGTACTGCTCCTGCCTGCATTCACTGTCACACTGAACCTTGCAAAAACAAATTAAAGCCGGAATAAATTATCGGCCAAATTTGACTTGGCCTAAAATAGGTGAAAATAAATATGGGCCGAATATTTGTAGACTCACAGTATACATATCCAAATTCCCGGACGGAATTACATTTAGAAATCCAAATTCCCGGACGGAATTACGTTTAGAAATCCAAATTCCCGGACGGAATTACGTTTAGAAATCCAAATTCCCGGACGGAATTACGTTTAGAAATCCAAATTCCCGGACGGAATTACGTTTAGAAATCCAAATTCCCGGACGGAATTACGTTTAGAAATCCAAATTCCCGGACGGAATTACGTTTAGAAATCCAAATTCCCGGACGGAATTACGTTTAGAAATCCAAATTCCCGGACGGAATTACGTTTAGAAATCCAAATTCCCGGACGGAATTACGTTTAGAAATCCAAATTCCCGGACGGAATAACATTTAAAAATCCAAATTCCCGGACAGAATAACATTTAAAAATCCAAATTCCCGGTAGGAATTACATTTAGAAATCCAAATTCCCGGACGGAATTACATTTAGAAATCCGCAATCTCTTGTGGTGTGCTGTCCCTTACTATTCCTTTGCCAGTTGATCAGGCTGAAGTGATCGACTACATCTGCGACCATCCGCAACGTGTGTGTATTGTACTAGACGGCCTAGACGAGGTGAGCCTCGACGACTGTAGCGATTTCATCAACAACCTTATCCGCGGTACTGAACTGCCTGGAGTTCGTCTCATCCTGACGTCTCGGCATTCAGCTGAAGCCATGCGACTCATGCACACACTACCGTTTCAGCGACGTGTTGAACTTCTCGGCTTTGACGACGACAACCTAGGCCGCTACGTGCACAACATCCTCAAAGCGGAAGAAGCCACAGGTCTCCTGGAGAAAATCTCTTCCAACCCGCAGCTGGGAGCCATGATGCGAACGCCGTTCTTGGCGGAAGGCGTGTGCAAGCTGTACCGCTGCAACAAGACTGTACCGGACACGCTAGGCCCTCTCTTCAACTCTCTCATCCTCAATGTCCTGCAGCAGCAGCAGCAACAGAAAGCTATCAAGGACCAGCAGCAGTACGGTAACTGGGGCAGCGTTCCCGATCATATCAAGGACGTCGTAGCGGAGCTCGGCTGCTTTGCTTTCCAAATGCTCATCCGCAAACGTGTAGTGTTCACGGAGGACGACTTCACAATGTTCCAAGTCTCGTCAGCCGCACGTTCACTGGGTTTTCTCGTAGCCTGTGACAAAGCAGTGCACGACACCGGTGACCAGTGGAGGTTTAGCCACCTGTCCATGCAAGAAGCAATCGCGGCTCACTTCTATGCCCGCACATGCAAGCCTACAGCGGCTGATGTTCGACAGCTTGTCAACTATATCGGCTCAATGCCTGGCGCGCTCAGTACCTTTGGCATTTTCCTTGCCACAGAGCTTGATAGTGAATGTGTGGAAGCACTCCTCCACAGCATCCTCTTTGGCAAGCCGATGGCAATGACCGGAGCAGAGGATCACCGTATCGTGCACTTTCTTTGCGTCATACGCGATGACATGATGCTGTGGGCCGACCATTTAGCTTCGGTTTTTCAACTGGAAGATGCCGAGACTCTCGCCGAGGAGCTTCTGTCCGGAAAGATTGGCATGGCCTCATCAGCCTCTGAAGTCGTCAAGGCCGCAATGGATCCCGCGGTTAAAGTCACAAGCAAGGAATTCCTTCGCACTCTTTTGTCGCTATGGTTACGTCACACGCCGAGCGCTAACACACAGATGTTGTACGATTACATCTGCAGGTTTGCGCAGGGACTTGCTGTACGTTGCTTTTCAGCTACACCACAGTGCCAAACAGATCCCGGTACTTCATCCAGCACCGCGATGCTATCCGCTGCGACCAATTCCTCTTCTCCTAGCCAACTCAACACAACAGAAAGTAGAGGATATCGCCTTGTGTTCGCCTGCCGGGTCTTCTCAGCGCATGCCAGCACCGACCACTTCCAGGGCAAGTCGATTCCCAGTCTAGAGCAAGTCCTACAGGAGAGTGGCCTCGATTTCGACAATGTTCTCTTGACTGCAGCGGATTGTCAGTCTGTCAGCACAGTAATGCACCACTATCACCAGTGCATCACCAGGGTTAGTCTAAAAGATTGTGCTATTGGAGATGATGTGTACCAGTGTCTCAGCGCCGGACTGACCCTGCTCAACAATGTGACAGATATCGATTTACAAGACAACCTGCTCACGGACCGGCATGCAGGACACATCGCTTCCCTCATCAAGACCAATGCTTCTAGCCTGGGCAAACTCTTCACCGATGGAAATGCATTTACCAGCCTGGGAAATGTTGAGCTACACCACTATACTCACACCTGTACTGGATTGCAGCTGCTAAGTATTGGAGGTCAGGGCTCAACGGATGAGTCCATTAACCTGAGCGTCTTGTCCAAGATCCTTGGTGAGTGCACATTACTGTATGTCATTGGGCTAGTTGATTACAGAATCGGTGATGCTGGACTGGCACAGATTGCCCCACTACTCACAACAACCAGTCGGGTAGTCCTTGCTCTGGCAAAGGTTGGAATAAGCGAGAGCAGCACCATGGTCTTGTCTAACATCCTGCACAAGCACTGTGATACTTTACAGATGCTTGCACTCAGCGGTAGCCACTTGACTGATGGGTGCCTTAAAGTCATCAGCAACCCTCTCCGCAATTGCAGTAAGCTACAACACCTGTATCTAGATGACTGCAACCTATCTACATCCTCGCTACCTGTACTAGCTTCACTTCTCCGGAGTTGCAAGGCTCTCTCCGAACTGCATGTCACGGGAAATGACTTCCAGGATGCCAAAGCTATAGCAGAGCCGTTCGCTAGGTCCGTTGAGTCCTGCACTTCCCTGAACCGGCTCGTTATGCCAGAAATGCAGCTACTCGATCCTCGTCTGCATCAAGAACTGGTGTCACTAAACAAGCCAGGTCTGGCTGTGCAGTTCGAGAAGTGCATAGACTATCCCGAACCTAAGCATGACAGTGAGGGTGTGTACAACCCAGATGAGGACAGTGATGATGACGATGACTAGTGGGAGAAGCTGTCATTCACCCGTATGGCTAAAAGACGGTATCCATTATACACTATGGTATCAACCATGCCATGTGACATCCGCTACACTGTATGTATTCGCTATGCCTTGTGGTACCCGCTATGGCATATAGCATCTGCTACTCTGTATGGCATCCGCTATGACGTGTGAAATTTGCAATGCACCATGCCATGTATGGATAACTATGCCGTATGATATTCGCTACGCCATATTGTATTCGCTACGCCGCATGATATTCGCTACGCCGTATGATATTCGCTACACCGTATGGTATTCGCTACGCCGTATGGCATCCACAGCGCCGTATGGCATCCAGTATGCCATGTGTCATCCACTATGTTGCATGGTATCCACTGCGCCATGTGACGTACGTGTTGCCGCGACACATCCAATATCCCGTGTGACATTCGCTTTACGCACACCCCCCCCCCCCCCTCCCCCTCCCTCCCCTCAATCACTCACTTCGTCCGCCCCTCCGCCTGATAGGCTGGTTAAGTTAATGTGCAATGTCATGTACATACACGTGTGCAATATCATGTACATGCTTACTGACTGTTCTTTTCGTGTACTCTACAAGTGTGGCCGTTCAACATACCACGTCACGTAGTTGCATGTTCTCTAACCGAACATACATGCACACTGTATATCAGAAACACTTACAGTACTTACAGGACATTTTCATTAAAATGCATGTGTTCTAGTGGCAAAACCTTGAAACCCGTTTAGTAAACACATTATGTCTTTTCTGCCTGTTTCGCTGTCTCCATTTCCATCCCTTTCTCCCCACCCCCTCTCCCTCTCTCTCTCTCTTTCTCTTTCTCATGCTGCATTGCTCTCTTTACCAACCCCCCCCCCCCCCCCACCACCACCACCACTTGTAAATGACGCTTGAGTTCATCCAATTTCTTGTTCCCATTGAGCTGCCACTCTTTGTCGTCAACATTCTCCATTGATGTTGATTCTAGGCTTGCTTTGCCTATGCTTGAACCATCTAATACTATGCTAGGTCACGCTGCAGAGACCACGATGCTTTTTCTATGCCCGCACTACGCTGTTTTGTGGCCGCCTATACCAGCTGACAGGATCTGGAATGGACTATCCAGACCACTTTGCTCTGTCTATGCATGAACCATCTAGTAGAATGCTTGTTCAGACTGTAGACGGTGTGGAGACGAAGTTGCTGTGTGTCTGCCTATACATGTACCAGTTAGCAGAACAATGATTCCGATATCGACAGTTACTAGGGAGCATGGAGGCTAAGGGGGAACTGCAAATGGTGTTCTACGTCGCCCTGGTTGAGGCCATAGCAGATAGCTTTGCATGGTAATATATTCGGATACTGTGCACGCTGAAAATCTGAATTATCTGCCTCTCCGGTCAAAGCAGTAGGATATGCATGGTTTGAAGGTGCCAATGTATGCATGATTTGAAGGCATGAAAATGTACAATGTATGCATGCCTTGAAGGCGGGCAATGCATGCATGATTTGAAGGTGACAATGTATGCATGACTTGAAGGCGGGCAAAATATATTATGAATCATTTGAAGGTGGCAATGTACGCATGACTTGAAGGCGGGCAATGTACGCATGACTTGAAGGTGGCAATGTATGCATGACTTGAAGGTGGCAATGTATGCATGACTTGAAGGCAACAATGATTATGTGTGCATGACGTGAAGGTGGCAATATATGCATGACTTGAAGGCGGAAGGATATGCATGACTTGAAGGCGGAATAATAATGTATGACGTGAATCTTGGATCGTAGATGTACATGTACATGTATACTTCAGTAGTACATCTACATGACTGTATACTTCAGTAGTACATCTACATGACATAGAGTTTTGGTTGGAGGAAAGCAAATCAGCACACGAAGCACAGAAGCCATGTAATTTTTCGACTAGGCCTTTCATTCCATTACTCTTCAGGTCGAAAACATTATGGCTTCTGTGCTTCGTGTTCTGATAGTAGTAGTAGTATTGACATATCCGCGGCAAGCCGCCTATGTACAACTGTATGAGAGAGGATAACAGAAATAAAAATATATTGAATACTGTATTTTCCGGAGTATTGCGCACTCTAGATGTGCTATTTTAGGCCCTAAATCGCAGGTGCGCACTATACTCCGAACATGAAATGCTTTTACTTCAATGCAGATTGAAGCGCGCACCCACAATGAAGATTGGGGGTGCGCGTTACACAAAGGTGCGCACTATACTCTGACAAATACCGATTATACGGTAACCGACGAGGAGACAACAGTCGTAAAATAGCAATGAAAAATGTCAATTGTGCACTCATAACCATGTATAAACAATTAAAATGAAACTATTCGAATTGTTTCCAATTGGAATTGTTTCATTTTAATTGTATGCTTATCTGGCTCTGGCTTATCTGGCTTGCAAGTGTTGAGTTCGGGAGAGAAAAGAGCAGTACGTGGCATGTGGCCTCTAATTTCCTAAAAACTTTAAAAATATATTGTTTGGGAAATCCACGCTATTATCGAATATTCAACAATGACGGATGTGGGGTGATACCAAATTCCCTTGATGTACAAATTGCTTCACAATTTTTGTTTCTTGGACTGCACAAACATCAACTCGATACCGCTTCAGGTCTCGCTGGAGCGAGTGCCTCTTCCATGGCGCAGTGAGTCCTCGTAAGCTGAACGTAGCGAACCTAACCTCATTGTTCAGCCCACACCGTTGTGCAGACTGTTGTTACGGATCCGAGGAGGAACCTCCATCCATGGCCGTCACACCATGGTCCCAATGCACATGTACATGTACATGTATGCAGGACTTGAAAGCGAGACTACCGTATGCATCACGTTTGCCTAGTACATGTACATGTACATGTACGTAGTAAAATAATAGCGTAGACAATGACAGGATATACAAGTCATGTACATGCATATGTAGAATCTGATGTGTATTTCATCTTTCTGTGAGAATCGGACCTATGGGACGGTGAGAAGGCAATCATGCCTGTGAACATGGTGGGTTGGGAGAGGAGAGATTACTGTAGGTGATGGTGTGTAAGGGTACTGTATCGTGTCCGTTCCCGAAGGGAACTCACGACGACCCCTGACACCCTGTAAACCCTAGCGAGATACAGCGTTTTTAGGGGGGGGGGGAGGGGAATAAGCCTCACAACCACTGGCACAAGTGGCGAAAACCCCCATCAGTCGCATCAAGAGTGGTTATGTACTCTTGGTCACATCCATGTACTCCTTGTGCCTGGCCAAAAGTTCCCAGTTGACCGTGGGTAGCAGCACGGCAGGAACAACCTTTCCCAGATGATGGTGTGTTACCCTGAGGAATGTCTTTGAAGACGAGGTGTGCAGTCACTGGGAATTGGACCGAACCCCATTGCATTCCAACAAGAGAGCACGCCACATAGAAATGTCCACGGCATGTACATTTACACTTCCTTTTGTATAGGATTGAGTGCAGTACGAAGAGGAGTTCCGATGAGCAAACGCGTACTTTGACAGTCACGCACTTTGTTTTGGTGTGTGCTCTATAACTACACACTACAACATCTACTACACTTGTATGCATGTTGAGTCTTCTAATTCCAGTCGTTTAAGTGGCACTTGGCTCGTGACTTTATTTACTGTACAACAATCTTCTTCATCAGGCTAGGACAGTGCATGGTCTGAGTCCCATTATGAACGGACCATATGCAGCTTGCCATTCAATCCTCACTAAACTACACTGTACGTCTAGACAGACTACCGTCCATCTCAGTATACACAGAAGTACAGTATGACACTGTGAGTCACGTCGAATCCCAACTCTGGGCCTCTTACTCTTTCTCCTCTGATATCCTCTGGACTTTGTGCATCGAGCACTTTGCCATTATTTCCCACAATATGCTCCTGTGACTGTATTCATATGCAATCGAATTTGTACCAATGCAATCATCAGACGACAGATACTACATGTAAAACCTGAGACTAATCATTGTGCATGTCATGTTAATCATACTAAATGGACGAGACCACGAGTGATACTTGGCACAGAATTGAGAATTGAGTAGACACAACATCAGTGAAGCTTTGATGCTGCAATCACCAGTCACATCTCGAAATTGATGTCAGATGTTCCAAGTACTAGTAGTAAAATGTGAACTATGTGCACATTATACATGTATGTACGCAAGTGCCTAGTAAGCAGACTGTACTGTTAGTGCTAATGTGGCTAGCTCGCCAAATCGGAAGACGCAATTACGCGGTATGACGTCACAGGGTTCAAATCGCCTCAGAGTGACGAGATGGTGACCGTGGCATCGGTCCGTGTCAACGTTGCTCCTGGAGAGTCCGTCAATGCAGAGGAACTTCCGCTGGCGATCCGTCTCGATATAGTACTCTTGGTCGGTCTGCGGGAAGTTGAGCAGTGGCGATGTTTGCATGATGTCGCCAGTGCTGTAAATTCGAAACTTGCTTCCGTGTCGATCCGGGTCGTACGGCTGCGGAACACACACCATACATCAGGGTAGTATTGTAAGATATAGATGTACATGTATACCTTGATACATCGGCCTAAAGTTTCTTTGGATTAGACTATTTCAAATTTTCAGCATTTAGATTTCATTGCCTAGTTTCATCCCTTGTATCTTTGGTGTTCTTCCTTCTTTCCATGTCGTATTGTTTGAATAAACCCGTTTTGAGACTTTAAAAAAATGTACATGTATATGTATGTGCACATCGCCATCCCCACGAACACCGACACTACTGTGACAAGAGAAAGAGAAAAAAACAAGTAAAGATCGCACGTCCGCGTTACCATGGTTACCACCGTTTAGGAGCCGCATCTGACGCCTGATCATGGGGTGGTGGCGTCCCACGGAAGCGGAAAGGTGGTTCTTGACCAGGGAGTTGTACGACTCCTTGTTCTTGACCTGCCCGGTGCGCGAACCCCGTCGAATTTATTTTTTATTTTTTTTATACAATTGTATTGAGAAAGACAATCAGCGAGAAGGAGTAGGGGACCAATATGCACACCAATCACGCTTGGTGAGGGGAACAGATTTCAATGGGGGTCTGGAGAGGGTGGCTTTAATGAAAGTAGGAAAGAGAGTAGACTTTCAATCTACTCGTGTCGAGCCACTTCCTGCCATCTGTACCAGCATCACACATTGCAGGCATATGCACCGGCCACATTCTACTGTCCTTTTCAGCGCAAGTGTGCGACTTCAAAAATGCTGGACCCCGAAAGCTTTCCAAGTAGTTTCAATGCTGCGCTGGGAATAATAATTAATAATATTCTAACGATGGCCTGTGCGTGTGGGCGATGAGAGCATGATATTCAGTTGGCAGCACCACTTGACATTTTACTCCATGAACCGCAACCGAGCCTGTCGCGTCGGCGAATCTCGGCTGTGAGTATCGCCTCGCCTGCACACGAGGGACATTGCACTATCTTAATTAATTTTATATCACTACGAACAACATACATGTACATGACTTCTAGTGGCATAATTATTCTCGCTTTATTGCAATCAGTTGTAGGGTCATTCCGCGTAAGATTTGCATCGCCTGTGCGGTGTGTTCTTCCACTAATGAGCGCATACAATAGCTCTTCACGCTGTTCTCACGTTTAACATTTAGGAGCACAATCTGTCAATTGTTCCAGAATTATCCGCCAAGCCTACACGTACACGTACATTGTACAATCATGTACATGTACATGTGCATATTGAGCGCTTGTTAGATTTTGTCATTTCAACGCGACGGTGGGGGGGGGTGGGGGGCTGATTTCGTTGCCCTCTGCTGCACATGTACATGTACGCTAAATCCAAAAATTATGTAGATGTTGCCTTGTTTTTTTGTTTAGCTGCTTTCTACTTCACTATAGGCACAGGCAAAAGTTTCCTTCTCACTGGGCGTATTGCTACAGTTCTCGCAAAATGATGAAGATATTGATAATATGAGAAAAAGAAAGAGGAAAATAGATAGATGTACAGGGCACAAAAAAAGAAGACGGAAACGAATTCTAATTATTCAGATCTTACCCGCATTCTGAGCAGGCGACTGCGAATAGCAATGCTTGCCGGTGGTGAAGTTAGTCGCCATGTGAACACGTCCTGACCGTCACGTGCACGTACGAACGCGAACTGGGTATTGTCAGTAGAACCGGCTGAACATCACAGTCATACCAAGTAAACACAGTTTGCAATAAAAAATGTCCACATTCATGTAGATCTACATGTACATGTTCGTTATGAAAAAAGAAAAGTTGGGTAACGTTACCCAACTTTTCTTTTTTTTGCTAAACAGCTTGAGCCTCTTTACCTTTTACGGGCAAAATATCACATTTGGGAAGCATCAACAAAATTGCATGTACATGTACATAAAACGACTGATATCAGCTTGGAACCTCTCTGTTTTTGTGAAACGAATGATAACAGTAATGTTACCCAACTTACCCCCGGCCTCACTCCCTGTAGTGACATTGAACGTCACATTGAACGTGACATTGAACGTGAGACTTACACTTACATGTGCATGTGCATGTACCATCTCACCCTCGCAGTTTATGGCGCTGCATCGGCCACCTTGGAATACTCAGGCATGCTGGTGGCCTGGCACGAGCGAAACTACCTCTCTAGAAAGTCTATAAAGCTCTGCTGGTTGAGTTACTCTAAGCCGGTGGTGACCATGGTGAAGCGGATGTGCAAACTTTGCTTTACAGTCAACTTCGCGAATAGCGACTGCGGATATAGCGACAATTCGCGAATAACGACAGAATTTTCATGCCCAGAGCAAAGTCCAACTGTAACACATAATGAGACTTCGGGTATAACGAAACTTCACGAATAAGGACACTTTTCTGATGCCCCGCCGGGTGTCGTTATAAGCGAAGTTGACTGTACTTGCATTCTACTAGTACTAGTAGTACTAGTACTAGTACTAGTAGTACTAGTACTAGTACTAGTACTACTAGTACATGTACATGCAGATGAATTGCAATCTGGCAACTAGATACGGTTACCCGTTGTTCTGCGCCCTTCCATACCATTCACTCAGGATGGCTAACTGATTACCCGTTGTGTTTCCAAAGTTGTGATTGTGGATAGCGATCACCAGCGCGTGACTGGGGCGGATAACATACAGTCTTGTGTGTTGTTAGTTGTGTCAAGGCGCTCTAGCCTGTATTTTCTTCATACAAGAAAGCAATGGTCTCAGAACACGTATTCGTCTTGATCGCGATTACAATGCACCAATCGTATTGTCCCAAAACTCTAAACTCGCGATTTGACTAATTTTTGCTGACACCACGAGCAATGCGTTTCCGTTGGCCAAGGCTCTCTCGAGTGGCATCCAGCAAATCTCGCCGTAGTGCGACCTACATGTACATGTACACATGGACAAATCTACATACATGTACACATGGACATGTACATGTAACAGACTCAGAAAGATCTACATGTACATGTATTTTCATTTAAAGCTCTGAGTAGATTTTTGGTTGGAGAAAAGCAAATCAGCACACGAAGCACAGAAGCCAAATAATTGTTTTCGACTAGGCCTTTCATTCCACCGGTTATAAGGACTTGCTTACTACCTTGTTAATCACCATTGTATTCGACCTGAAGAGTAATGGAATGAAAGGCCTAGTCGAAAAAATTATAATTATGGTTTCTGTGCGTCGTGTGCTGACATGTAACTCTCTGAGCTTAGATTGTAGGTCTGCATCAGTACATGTACATATATCCAATCAATTTTTATGATAAAATCAGGTACACTGTAGGCCTACCCTTAGCATGTGATTATGATTTCTCACCGATTATGATTTCAAACCGCTGTAGTAGTTCTCACCTCGAGTTGAATCCACGGTTGGTGCGTAGACATACGTCCTGTCGCTGGCATTCCGTGATGCCTCTTCCATTCCTGTGCGAGTTCCTGTCGCGGTGGGGTTGCTGCTGGTGGCGCTGGTGGTCGATGTTGTAGTTGCTGACGGCTGCGACTGTGTGGTGATGCAACATACAGGGCCTACGTGCTGTGTGAGGTTAGTCTTGGCTGCGATGCTCGTGGGAAAGGCCAGACGGCATTGCTGACACTGCCAGAAGCCGATAACCATGCTATAGAGAATGAAGTCACTAGCGACCGACGCCACCATTCTACATTCCAGGCCAAGACTCTACGTTTCGGAGACGAAAGAAAGAGGAGAACGCAGTACACAGAGAACAACGGGAACAGTGAGTCGCTGACCATCAACACATTTTTGTCAAGGTTCGCTTGAGATTCATTTAGACCGAAATTTCAGCATCTGTAGGAACGCCACCACTCTGCAAAGATCTAAGGCGCAGATGCAGCTCCTAAAGCGTAAAAGCGCCCAGATACGGGCGCTTATTCGACCATGAAATACTGAGCCGGATATGACCCTTCAATGTCCTGCTCACGCACTTACATGTACTTGAAAGATGAATTTGTGAGTTTCTGTTCTAAACTGTTCAACTGAGTATTTTATTCATAAATATGGTGGTTAACACGCACCTAGAACCTGGCAATATGGCGGTAAATACACGCCAGACAGTGATTATACAACAGGAAGAAAGGAGATAAATGGCTGTAAATACAGACTAATGTAAATAATAACATTTGTAATTCCAAATGTACAACTATGATGTTCAACTGTTAGGAGCTGTCGTTTTCCGGTAATTACATGTATATATTACTCACATACTGAAGGATCAGACAGTGCGACATGTGGCACAAAGCAAATGGATTGATGTCAATCTCGCAGCAGCAGAAGCAGAATAGTTCCCTGACAAAAGTTTATGTGAATAATGTGAACAGTACAATCAGGCTAATATGCCGCACAGGTTCAGGGCCGGGGCGCAGCTCGCATGAAGGGCTCGCCGTTCGTTCGCCCTAACCCACTGCTCAACGTAATATGCAACAACAACAAAATACACACGCGTATTATACCGGGACAATCATGTTCAATGATGGCGTGTCGTCCGGCACAAAAAGGCCTTGTAATGTAAGTGGATCTGATAAGGAGCGTGCAGTAACACTGGCCTGATACTTGAGTACTAAACACATACACACACACACACACACACACACACACACACACACACACACACACACACTCTCTCTCTCTCTCTCTCTCTCTCGCTCTCTTTTCTCTCTCTCTCTCTCTCTCTCTCTCTCTCTCTCTCTCTCTCTCTCTCTCTCTCTCTCTCTCTCTCTCTCTCTCTCTCTCTCTCTCTCTCTCTCTCTCTCTCTCTCTCTCTCTCTCTCTCTCTCTCTCTCTCTCTCTCTCTCTCTCTCTCTCTCTCTCTCTCTCTCTCTCTCTCTCTCTCTCTCTCTCTCTCTCTCTGTACAGATACTGTAGTATGATCATAAAGGGAAAGCTACAGATAGACCCTAAACGTTGTCTTCAGCAAAGCTTTCTATTTAGCAACTGGAAGCTCAGAGATATGAAAAAATGCATTTGCTCTCTGATGCTTTGCGGTTGTGCGGTTCGCTCTTCCTTCACTAGAGTATACATGTACATGCTCACTATACAGCACGACTCGGAGGGAGTTGTGCTTGCTCGTGACAGTGCTCAATACACCAAGGTGCACAGCCTAGTACACACACTTGAGAGGGATCAAAAGCGTTTCTGCTGTAACTCTCCGTTTCACGGTTTCAACCGAGTGCAGTACACAGCACTGTGTGCGTTAAGCACATTTCAGTGTTTGATAATACGCCTACATGTAAAGTTTACTACTGGCAATCCCTGACATGCGTACCAAATAGCTCAGTATTTGGATCCTAACTCAATTCCTGTTCTTAACTAGCATGTTGTGCAAAGTAGGCATATTCATTTCACGTTCTCACCTGCTGTATCCAGGTTTCGCCTCCGCAGGCGCCGAATTCTCCCAATGGTTTCCTCCGTAGCCAGCTGTTACTCCAAGTTTCCGAGAAACAGCAGGTCAATTTATAGCGGTGTACGCCTGCACTTACTATACACTTTCCGCCCGACCACGACTAGCTCGCTGAGAGTCTCGTGGAGTGCAAGCCGCTGTCAGCCAGTAGAATCGAGTAGAATATGCGGATTAACACCCCTGTATGACAACTTCTCCATGTCTCACCCCTCATGACGAATTAGACAGTCCTGCAATACTGTCCGAAGGTAAACATTCGTGGGCCTAGCAGTGGCCAGAGCCGCGAACATTGCTGATACTCTTACGTGCACGTGTACAAGGCAAGGTGCGGGAGATCTGGGGCAGTGTGTCTAGGGCCTCTAGGCTAAACCATGATGAACACGAATACTTCGTGTCCACGCCTAGTGGCAATCAGCCATGGTCCTCACATCAAACGACATGTACATGGGGTGACCTCACCCTTTCGGGGGAGCACCATCATCATCATCATTCCTGCCCGTCATCCGACAGTCTGGATCTACATGTAGTTCGACTGTGCACGACAGTAACAGGTTCCTACGCAAATGCGGGAGGCTAAATTCGTACGCGTGGGAGTGAGTCAGCTTCCGGAAATTAACTGAAACTGAGAGAGCAAAAAGTCTCTGGAAACTTTGGCCCATCCATTCCTCACATCGGTGATTGCCTTCACGCCAAACACTGCTGTAGCCATGGTAACCCATAGATAATGATGCACTATAGCTATTACTACCCAAAGAAAGCAAGAATGAGAACTACGGACGTTAATCCAGAACTAATGATGCGGTACTAATGCAGGGATAGCAAGAATGAGAACTATGAAATGTAAGAGAGCGGACTGATCTGCAGCCAGAAGGAGATCCGTCTTGGCCGACGCTCTCCCAAACGGAAGTGATGGTTGTCTGGGCCCGCTGGAACCGGTCCGGTTGGTCAGGTTATCACCTCACCCCTTTGGCCACCAACACATGTCATGTTTACTGCCATGGAAGTTGTTTATACTCACCATATCACACAAAAAGTAGTATGAATGGCCATGATGCTACGGGACCAATCAAGAACTACTTCCCGCTGTCCAGTACAGTAACACTGTTCTCAAACACATTCTAACAACACGTCATGTACTGTACATGTACAGGTATGCCGCTGAGTAGGGGATCCAAAGGTCTCGGGCCTCTTGAGTCTTGGTAATTCTGCAAATGCAATATTATAAAACAGAACACAAATGCAACAACACTGCTCGAAGTCATGTATACTTGCCATGATATCCATATACATATGTATGTATACATGTACATGTACGTTTTACCATGTACATGTATGTAGCAGTACATCTGCGGCAGCTTCGTCTCACTTCTACCTACATCAGTACATGTAGCTTGAATGGCACCAGGGCAGCCTCAAGAGTCAAGTGTTCTGCATAATACATGTATACTGTACGTGTACTGTACATGCAGAGTATTTGAGGCATGTATATGTTCTGTATATTATTTTTGTCTTTACTTTGTTGCTAGGGTTATCAAGTATGTTTGCACTTTTACCTTCTCTCCAAGTGCTTTAGGAAGCTACATTGTACATGTACATGTACATGATTGTATTTCGAGCTGAGTAGCACCACTTGCATAGCTCGCATACATGACTGTAGCTTCTAGCAATCTACATGTACATGTACATGACTGGATATTCTGTACCCTAAACATCTAACTTGAATCCTGCGTACAGCCTACAGTCGAATAAGATTGCTGTTTTTCTTACTCATACATGCACATGTACATGTACACGACTTGTACATGTACGCCCCATTCAATACATTTGCCTCTCTAGCAAGCCAGTGGAACTGACGGCGTGATTCGGACAATTGGTTTCCATGGCTGCCCACTGGAAACACTTGAGCAGATGTGAAGCGTGTAAATCTACGTTTCTATTCTTCGAGCCCAGGGTAGACTGCCCTGTACTAGGCTGTAGGCCGTAACATGGGAATGTCCATCAGTACGTGTATTTTACTGACATGATGTAGACTGAACGCACTCAAACTTAACTTAATCAGTGGCTATACTCTAAAAGTAAGTTGTGTTCGTCTTCGGCTTCGTTTCGCACGCACCCACGCACGCTCGCATATGCGGAAACACACACGCACACACATCGACGAAAGTAAACAGTGCTAGGTGACTTGCAATCACTTCACTTGCCACTTTCACGTGATGGTCGAAAACAAACACAGCGCGCCACCATTGTTTACCGGAGTGATCAATAAGCTAAGTGGCACTTGGCGGTAGTGCAGACTTGTATCGCGGGCTGCTTCATTGTCCTGTAGCGCGAGGAATTCTTCATCCTTTCAGAGACAGCATGGCTATAACATTCTGGTAAGCGTTGTAATCGAGTCGGCAGATCCCTGCACGGTACGGATAGGACTTGGGCCTAAAGCTCCAGTACTGTAAAAGCCATATATACATGTATAACGAAGTGCTAACTCTAACGAGTTAACGAGGAGAAATCTGTCTTTAAAATAGAAATCGTTATACAGAAATCGATGCATATACATGTACTGTCCTATTGAGCGTTGAGAATGAGTGAAAATCGCTACCTTTGTTACACGTAAACTAGTCAATTTTGGGAAATCGTTATAATATGCGCCGCGTTAGAATAATGGCTTTTACAGAACTCATATTCGCAAGTTGTGTGCAGCATTGCCCGACACTGTGCTTCGCTAGAGTAACTGCATGTGCATGGACATGTGCATGACATTGTTCATGACTGCATATGGCTGTATGCATACGACTAAATCCATAGCAACACTGTAGTCGCAGAGCAGAAGTACATGTACATGTACAATACCGACGCCGAATAATGAATTGCACATATCATCAAACAAATTCAAATTCAGTAAACTTAAATTTGCAGCGTCAACGACCTTTGTGTAGAGGTGGTGGTGACTGATGATAATATTCAGCAAACTACTTTGAAATACTGTAGTACTGCGCTGCTTACCTGTTGCACAGTATCCGTAACGTGGTGGGTATTGTTTCACAAGACCATGCTAGCCTCACCATGTCAGAATCTTGCGTGCATACTTATAGACGGCATACGGATTTAGCACAGTACAATGTCATGTACTTGTCGGGCTGGAATGCGTGTCCGACGCCTAACTTCCTAAGCCTAAATGGTCCCAGTTGAACCACCACTACCATCACTACCACCACTATACTACCAACGCTCTGACACTGACAACCATCGCCGAAATGTTGTTTTCTCAAGTGCCCTAATAGGCCATAATCATATCTGGGCTCGAGCAGCTGACGAGTGGGTAACAATGCTAGTGCTGTAGTAGTACTTGAAGTGGGGGAAAGTGTAGTACTCCAGGCGAGCAAAACAACGTTTATAACTTACTTACTTCAGTGGAGCCTGTCTAAGACGACTGCTCATGGGACCTTCAAAACGTGGTCTCTGTTACCAGGTGGTTTCCCTATCCAGGGTCATTTGACTGGAAATAGCATCACTTGGTCCTGGTTTCAGTGGTCTTCTAGGACAGGCAGTCGCCTGATCCGAGTGGTCGCCTTGACAGGTTTTACAACATGTATATGTACTATGTACTCAGCCTCAGTGAGTGAGTGAGGATGTAGTAGCCGTGGAGAAACCGGAGTTGAGGTAAACCAGATCAGCAGACGTAGCAACTTAGTTACTTGCATTGTGCACACACACACACACACAGCATGCACTCTCTTCTCGAGTCAAAACACTCAACACATGTGCAGACTGTGTGACAAACGCAGTTTGAGTGAGTACTTAATTAAGTTGTAGTTGCACTGGACCAGAGCTGCACAAGATTGGAGCCGCGATCCAGACAAAGGACTGATTGTGACTGAGCGTACACGAACACGTGTACATGACTTATGCACATGTTCAATGGATGTGTACTCAGTAATTGTTTTCACCTGTTTAGGTGTGCCCATTTTACCCCTTTACCGCCTGAACGTAACCCGTACCAAGGAAGCATGAGATTCTCATCATTATGCACTTCCTGTCCGAGTAACTCTAGTTTCACAGGGGACCAATAGTACTCGATGAGTCCACAATCCATGCCATTCTACATTGTAAGGTACGGTCAGGTATGCCTGTCGTTGACACACAAACACACACACACACACACACACACACACACCATTGTGTCCATTTGACGCCCATCGCCGGAGGAGATGATAGCGATGCTACAGCATAAGCCATCGCAACTTGTGCTGGGATTGCACCATTCAACAGCTTGCAAGGTTGAAGACACACACACACCTCAGACCTCAGACCTGCCCATCGCGGAAGCGATGATAGCGAACAGCTATGTTAGACATAGCAACTTGTGCTGGGATTACACCATTCAACAGCTTGCAAGGCTGATGAATTGACCGCCACTATTTTTAGCCTGGTATCCACCACACAGCTGATTGAAGTGACTTTTTCTGGCCAGTGAATCCCTATTTTTCATTTTTCCATTTTCTGTTTTCTTTTTTTTCTACACACACACACCACACCACATACTCCGGCATACACTGGCTGTTGGTAACCACCCAGGAGAATGAAAGAAAAGTCAGGAAGAGACCGAGAAAGAGAAGAAAGACGTGTGCGACCATAATCGTCGGGAATTGAACCCGCAACCTCTCGATTGGAAATCGACTGCACATACCACTACACACACACACACACACACACACACACACACACACACACACACACACACACACACACACACACACATCAGAGAATCCACCGACTAAAAATACAAAGACCAGACTAGCTGAATACATGCTGGGGAAATAAGATGAGGGCTACCACCTTGCCCAGTCCTCCTGGCACCAATCACGGAGTGAACATCGATAGACCACACCTCACAAACTTCCACTAAGGCATAATTATCGCATTCCTGACTCGCCGTGGCCCTCTTTTCCCCCATTCCTCTGAATCGCGGATGAAGGGAGCTTGTGGTTTCTCATGTCTGGGCGTTGTGACACTA